CAGAAATGCTCAGTTCTCCGAAAGACTCCTGTAACTTAATTAAAGGCTGATAATCACAGTAGTTCTTGATCTCAGGAGGCGGATGTGACTTTGCACCTCATACACCTTGTCCAGCATTGCCAACCCTAAAATAAACAGAACTTATGAGTCACATCGCCCAGAACAGTGACACTCTACAAGTGCTGGATTTGCCTTCTTATCTTGGAGACTTCAACTTCCTAAGTTATGGCCACAAAAGTTATTTTTCCTTTAATAGAAGCAGCTAGTCCAGCAATAACTTAGCCTAGAAGTAGGATCCTTAAGAGAAGAAGCAAATGACACAAGGCCAAGGAATTTGCAATACCCTTTGTTTCAAAGGTCAGCTCTATTCAGTGCCGAGGAAAAACTCTGTTCTTGCTTCCATTAGTGAAATTCCTCACTGGCAACTAGACCTCAACAAAAGCTGCATTTATATAACTAAAAGCAAAATTTGGCCTCATGTTCGTAATGACATTTCTCTCCGAGGTACCTCTGTCTTTTTCAGAGAAACTTTTGCTCCAGCTTGTTGTTTGATAAACTCATTATTGGGTATGTTTACATTTTGTATTAGGTCAGGGACTGAACCTTGGGCTTTGGCCCAGGAACAGCTGTCACTGCTATGGCTCACGTCAGGCATCTTTCTCAGCACCCAGATGACACCTCTGACCAAGCCAGAGTCTTCTTCCCTTCTATCCTCCAGCTCCTCCTGGGCCCAGGCTAACAGGAGGAGTTGGGAAGGGGAGCTGGGAAACGGAGAGCATTTCTTCTTCCATTTTGCTTTGAGTTGAAGCATCTGGTGATGAATCACTTCTCTTATTCAAACAGCCTCCAAGCTGGCCCTACAGGCTCCCCAGGGCTTCAGATCCCAGGCCAAAGTATTTACAGTTTGCAAAACAGGTGTGTTAACGAGTCATGACTTGGGTTCAATGCCAGCTTTAATATAGGAGACAAATGTAGCCAAGTGGTAAGGCCTCAGTCCTCTCTTTCCAACCAGTCGGTCTCTCACGCCATTTCCCTGTGTGCCATAACTTTGTATGTTATCTTGGTGGAACCAGCTTAAGCACATCTGTGAATCACACCCAAATACATTGCATTGGTTTGTGGGCTGTCCAGCCTGTCCAGATCATGCCGCAGCTCCCTGCTTTTCTGCATAAATCTGGCTTTCTTTCAAAAAACTGGGAAGTGGCAGGGAGGAAAGCCTGTTCAGAGGAGATGCCTGTTCAGTTTTCATCATGGCATAGAGCTGTGACCTAGTGGGGGTCTTCACCTGGACAGGAAGATGGGAAATACTTCCAGGTCCTGCAGTTTAGAAATAGTCACGGAGACCTATGGTACCATTAACTATATTACTAGTTACACTATGCTACATTATGTTTTCTGCTCGAAAAGTAATTGCAGAGGCTACGGCCCTTGTGCTGACAAAAAAAAAGTAGCAAAGGGTTTATGAAAACAAAACACTTTTTGCCTCATTAGTTTGACTCATAAAGCTTACTGAACCTAAAATAATGCCTGTAACAAAGTTATATTAAAATCTAATCATTTGTGGGCACTGTGAGCAGAACTCCCCAAGCATGTAATCAGATCACTATAAGGCCACAGCACCTTTATGCAGGAAAACAGGGCAGTGTGAGGTCCTGGTTCTGCAGTAAGAGGAGTGCAGAAGGATCCTTTTCTCTGCGAGGAACCCAGCTGGGCTTGTTTTGATCTGCTGGTTTATTGTTCAGTACTATTGTTTCAGTGACTAAGAACCATGCTTTGCTGAGACAACCAGGAAAAGGTGTCCGGATGAGATTAAAATCCCCAACGATTCTTTTAAGATTACTAGTAATGCTGCAATAATGTATGGATTCACAGGGCACCATCCCTGCACAAGAGCCTCTCTGGAGCCAGACACAACAGGTCTGACACTGGCTATGTTGGACGTATGCGTATGAATAGTCTGTCGACAGTCTCCAGAACCTATATGGACAATTGCAGTAATTCCATAGCAAGGAAAGTGTTAAAAACACACCTAGCTATAATCTGATTTATCATTGTACTTCCTTGGAAGGTAGCTTGACAAGTTAGTTGCCAGAACTTAGCTTGAGTTTTTGAACTGAAAGGTGCTGTGTCCTGGCAGGGTTGATGCAGGTACAGAGCTTTGCCAACACCAAGAACGTAGGACTGAGACATGTTGTATAGGAGGAAGCAGTGAAAATCTGCAGGTTCTTGAGGACCTGTTTCCTCTTTTAAAAGTAGAAGGCAGATCAGCTCCTCAGATAGGAACTGTATGTAGCCTATTTACAGTGGACTAATCAAAACTTAAGGTCAGAACACCCAGAAACTCCAATGTTTGATCTAGGAACATTAGCACGGCATGCTAACTTTCCATTGACTCATAATCCTGCATATACAGGTGTTCTACCTTCTAACCTCGTGTAGCTAATTGCCAGACTAACATCACCATGCCAGACACAGAAATGGGAAAGGTCACACGCACCCCACACTGTACTTCCTCCTCCTGTCCCACAGCAGGCAGCAGCATGAGCCACAGGGCAAGATATTTCCCTCAGGCTTGAGAAACCAGGTTGGTTTTCCTGATTCACCACAGCTCTCCTGCATGAGCTCTTCGGTGAGCAAGTTGCTTAGAGTCTCTGTACCCAAGTTTCCCATATGTGAAATCAGAACGGCACTTCTCTTCTTCCCAGCGGTACTTTGAGAATAAATAGAGTAAATTCTGAGCTAGTCAGGCTAGAAAGAGGTTTACAGAAGCACCATAATGGACAGAAAGAAATTTAACCCCATGGGGGAGAGGGGTAGGAACAGCCATGCTGAACTCAACTTAAAAAGAAAACCAAATACTTTGCATTGCTATTTACTGATTTTAATACATCAGTTCTTTTTTCTTGTGACGGTTTTCTTCCTCTACGTCTCATCAAAGATCCATGTGTCATGTCCAGTTGCACAAAATACAGATAAGAAACAAATACCACAAACTCACTTTGAAGTTCCCCTTTTTGTAAGAATAAAAAAGAGAAATGACCTATTTGCATCTCACTTTATTTAGAACACTCGATTCACCATTATCTTCAGATAAGACCCAGGAAGCCCTTCTGTACAACTCTGACAGCTTGACATTGGAGTGTGACAGCTTGGCGTACTAGTGCTCAGAGACCAATTTCACAGCATATAGATAGAAATGGAGCAAATGAGTTATAACCGAGTTTTAAGCTCACTTAAATACTCATTTTCAAATCTAGATAGGAAAATTATTTTAAAAAATTTAAAAAGCAAATAAAAAAGTATGATTAGAGGAAGTGGGAGTCAGTACTGTCACGTGGTTTTGGAAGCGAAAGAGAAAGACATTGGTCCACTGATTTTCCAGGGCTTTTTCTTTAACTTTTTTTTTAACTTTCTATGAAGGGCACAGCTTTGTATTATCAACGGTTCTTCCCCTCTCACCTTTTGCAGCTGCATTTTAAAGAAGCATTTTACAGCAGTATAACTTTACTGACTTTTGGAAAGTTATAACCAAGATACGCAGGAGTTAGAATTTCTAAGTCAGAGAAATCAAGGGAATCTGAATAGACTGAGCATGTATGTAACAATAATCACTATAGCAGCTGTGTTACCTTGGGCTACGTCCAGGCACTCAGCAAGACAGAAGCAGAGTCAAGACTTCCGTGAAGCACTTTCTGTGCCTTTTCTGAGCACGTTCTAACAATGTTTTAGTTTTCTAAAACGTGTCCTTTCATTTCTTTTAGCAACAACCAATAAACTTTTTCTTCTTTCTGTACCTTTAAAAAAAATTTCTCCTCAGAGTAAATACTTACCAGCAGTTACCAAATACTGGTGTCTAAAACACCCGAGAGTATTCTCTGATTCTAAAAGAGCCGATACTTGCAGGTACATCATAGATATTCCAGTACTGTAGCTCTGCATCAAATAGAGAGGTGTGATGAATACACTCTTTTGGCATCTGTGGTTTCATTCCTTGCACCTTAAATGAATTCAGATAAATCTGTTTCCCCATCTCCTCCCCTGTTCCTTCTATCCTTTGGAGAGGTCTAAGCTTGTATTCCCCAC